AGAAGAGCATGCATGTAAGCATTCTTGATATGTTGATTCTTTAAATTGAAATTCGACGTGAGATCTGGATGTTTCTCAAAGATTGCATTCACCTGATCAACCTGTGATGATGAAGAAAAAAAAAGTGTCAAATCGAGTTTATCTCAAATATTGAAACAAGTGTTTTATTACCTGCGAATCAAGAACCTGAAAGCCGTTGACTTCGATAGTTACATTATCGTTGTTCTGCAAATCTTCAGAGGAATCATCACTAAAGTACTCTTCAACTTGTGATGCATTTAACGTGTCAATAATTTCATGAACTTCAACTTCAGCAATAATCGTGAGCTCCCCATTCAACAAGAATCCACCACGAATGTTATTAAGGTTGGCTATGGGAATCATGTCTCTAAAACCCCAAATCTTTGTGTTCTCATCAAACCAGTGCCATCCTTCTGTAACAATATTTCAACATATAACAAGAATATGTTAGTTCGTAACTATGAATTTGACATAGCCAGTGATCATGATCACAATTCACAACCATATAGTGCATAGGATTTTACTTTTATCTACCGAATGTTTCCCAGAAATATGATTGACTATAGTTAATTGATAATCCACGTATCTTCTCCAGCCAGAAGGAAATAGTTCCAAATTAACTTCCAGAAACAGAGAAAAGTAACCAGTAGGGTTTCCATTGGGATGAGCAACAAGACGCCTGCAAGAAAGAAAGAATAACCAAATACGGTATATGGATCATTCATGATTTGATATATATACGATTGCGTTTGACGAAAAATATTTGAAAAATAACAAAAGGAAACTATGATTTTACCAATAAGAGTCACCGATTAGGATTGGAACAGAGCAACACCAATGACTTCGCAAGTCTTTTATCACCCAACCAAACTTCTTTAAACCACCTTGATTTGACATTGAAGACTCTACTAGATACAATAAAAGAAGAAAACCCTTTTAAGAGACTCAAATTCAAAACCCTAATCACACCGCACTGAGACGAAGAAGCTTTATCTATACGGAAGATGCGTGGACGATCGTGCGAAGGAGGAAATTGAGGTTGCGTCTACTGTTGATGGATGTTAGTTATATTTTATTCGGTTCTTTAAGGTCACCGGTTTTAATCGAGGTTTTTGTTCCTATTTGCGAAAGGATTTTTTTTCCCCTACTTGAGAAAGGGTAATGTTATCGCAAAATGTGTTTAAAATTTCAAGTGGTATTTTGTTTTTAATTTGGAGTTGAGATATATATCTACGATTATACGTATGTGAGTTATTTTATTCGCATACTCTTTATTTATAAAAAAGATTAATTAAAACTAAATTATCACTTTTTCAGTGTGTTTATTTTCTACTATCGTCAAAAAGATAAAAATCCAAGAGAGAGTGACTATGAGCCAATATATCAGCTTCTTCCACCTAGCGTAACCAAGGGTGTGACCATGGAAAGCACAATGCAAAAGCAAAGCGCAATGATACTCCACTTAGAGACGCCAAGTGTGTTGTACTATGGACTTGGTTATTAAAAAGCTCAACAACAATGTATGTGCAGCTATAAATTGCGATGAATAAATAGTGATGTAATAGCTACCTTCCACATTATTGAAATAATGAGAATTTTAAAACCAAAGAAATTCCGATCCTAAGACTTTTAATCTTACAAGTACATTAGCCTGCGTCACAAGCTATTTGTTTCTCCAAAGCCCTATCCAACTTCTGACGCAACCAATCCAACATGAAGCCTGCTTTTGTCAGATCAGAAAGAATACTGTCTGCGAAGTTTAAGTCGTCCTCAGTGAGTTCCTTAGGCGACTTGCTCAATGTCTTGATTAAGTCAAGAAGAAAACCCATGTAAATATTCTTGAGATTTTGATTCTTTAAAATCAAATTCGATGCGAGATCTGGATGTCTCTCAAAGGTTTCCTTCACTTGATAAACCTGTGAAGACAGAGTAAACAAAGATCATATCAGCTTGTCCAAAATATTGAAACAAGAGTTAAAATCATTGTCAAGCTTTATTACTTGCGAATCAAGAACATGAAAGCCCTTGATTACAACAGTTACATCATCCTTGTCCTCTTCAGATGAAGCGTAATAGTCAAGAAGTGTCCATTCACTATCAACACTAGTCGCAGCAACTTGTGATGCGCTACTAGCTTCAAAAGTTTCTACTTCAGCAACAATCATGATCTCTCCGTTCACCAAGAAGCCACTATTTATATCATTAAGTTTTGTTAGAGAAATCATGTCTTCCCAACCCCATTCCGGAGCTTTCTTATCAAACCACTTTCGTCCTTCTGCAACATTTCCACTCCACTAATTGGTTAATCAACATAGAATAGTTAAATCACTACTACATCAACTAAAATCTTGCCAGTGGATTTGGAACATTATCAAAATGACATTAGTAATGAAAAGTATTCACTTATTCAATTTTAAAAAGTGTTTCCTCTGTTTCTACTATGCATAAAACTAATCAAAAGCTAGAAATATTTACCTCTCTTTACGGATAAATGCTCTGAAATTTGATTAACTACCGTAAAGCGAAATTGTGTATATTGTCTCCATCCACAAGGCATTGATTCGAAATCAACTTCCAGATACAGAGACAAGTGATCACCATTATTTTCCTCCGGATAGGCAAAAAGACGCCTGCCAGAATTAAAAAGAAAATAAGCAACCCAAAAGAAAAGAATTACCAAAACTTTATATAGATGTTAATAATCTTCGACGAGACATTTGGAAAGAAAAAGATATTGTATTTTTACCATTTGACGTCACGGATCAGAACTGGAACAGAAACATAACAATCTTGTAATTGTAAAGAGGAAAAATTCTTTATAACCCAAACAAACTTCTTATCATATGGGTTCATTATTGATGTCATGAAGATTCCTCGTTCGCAAGAAAACAAAACTCTTTTAAAACTAAAGTTTTGTAAATCAAAACCTAATCACGTTCGAGGTGTAAAATAGAAGAAAAATTTACAAACTAAGATTCAACTCCCAAGAAATTTTGAAAATCGAGCACAATTCTTTTAATAGTTACCACGATATGAATCGGAATAAGACTAAAGGATTTTGTAGAAAAGTAACGGAGACGAAGAAGCTATGAAAACAAACTTTTTAAGCGTAACCTAACGTAAAATCATATATAAAGGAAATATATCTAGCTTTTTTTTTGGTACCAGATATTGTTAGATAGACTTGAGGCATTTTCCAACAAACTACATTCATCTATAGATTTTCTTAGCGTATAAGTTGGAATAAATCTTAAAACCCCTTTAACAAAAAAAGAAAAAAAATCTTAAACCCTTAAAAATAGAACGACACTTTTAAGTTAAATCTTGATTTTTGTATAGATTAACAATTAAGCTTATTTTTACATAGCAGTAACGTATGTCAAATCAAAGCATGTATTGACTTTCCAATCACTCTGTTTCTTCTTATTAAGTTTATTTGGCTCAAATACTCTGTTTCTGATTTGTTATGTAAAAAATGTTATATATTTGATACTTGATTTAGACGTAGCCAACCATCAATTTAGTGATAAGGAAAGTTAAAACAGAACAAGAAACAGAGGAATACTTCACATAAAACCATCAATTAGTGATAAGGAAAGTTAAAACAGAACAAGAAACAGAGGAATACTTCACATAAAACCATCAATTAGTGATAAGGAAAGTTAAAACAGAACAAGAAACAGAGGAATACTTCACATAAAACCATCAATTAGTGATAAGGAAAGTTAAAACAGAACAAGAAACAGAGGAATACTTCACACAAAACCATCAATTAGTAATATCAAACAAAATCGCTGAAATCAAAGGGAGTCTCAGCAGCCAAAGCCGCAGCTCTCTGTTTCTTCAGATCAGATTCTAATTCCGATAAATTCAGCTTTCGTTTCTTGACTTGTTCCTCAAGTTCTCTGATCCGTGCCACAATGGCTCTTTTTTTCTCCTTCTTCAAGAAAGCTTCGTCCAGTTTCTGACGCAACCAGTGCAACTTCAAGCCAGCTTTTGTCAGATCCAAAACTGTGCGGTCTGCTTTGTTTAGATCGTTCATCGTGAGCTCCTTAGGCGATTGGCACAGTGTCATAATTAGGTCGAGAAGAACACCCATGTAAGCATTTTTGAGCTGTTGGTTCTTTAAATTGAAATCTGATGCAATGTCTGGATGTTTTTCAAAGATTGCATTCACTTGGCTTACCTGTGGAACAAGAAAAGCTAAATCGTTTTCTTACACTCAAATTGAAATAAGAATTCATGCTTTATTACCTGCGAATCAAGAATTTGAAATCCGTTGACTTCAACAATTTCATTAACATCTTCTGAGGACTCCTCCGACCATTCTTCAGATGAAGACGAGTATCTCTGTTCATCATCGCTAGATTCACTACTCTCTGTCTTCCTCACCATTGATTACGAAGCGAATATATCTCAATTTCAAAACTGAATAGCTGGGGATTAATTAACCTTTAGTGTTGTTGTAGCTAGGAATGTTGACCAGAGAGGATATTTATATTTGTGGAGTTAGAGAGTGATATTAAGAAAATGCATGCATTTTGATTTTACTCTTGTCATAAATTACAAATTTATAAATGGTAAAATTAAACATCCAATCGATATTAATGTTGTACATCCAATCGAGCCACATTTTTGCCGTGTGTCACACTTAAAGACATTACTTTTACAGCAAGAAACTTAATGCTTAAAGGAGCCTAGAGGAGAGTAATCAACTAAACCCAATTAACTCTACACAACATGAGCCTACACAAGATATAAGAATATACACAAAATCAAACATAACCGAATTCAAATGCATTTATAATTTCATGGAATTCAACTTTTGAGAAAGAGAAATTCGATTTGTATTTTTTACTCTAAATTTCATGAAATCGAACACAAATAGATTTGTTGCGTAAGTATTCAAAAAGGTTGTCCATAAATGTGGGTAAGTCTACAAATTTATGTGCTGTGTAAGTATTTTTGCACATTTACCGCCCTAAAACTTTCATTTATTGAACTTCCTGCTGTTTACTGATATGGTCACCAATCAACCCCTTTTACTATATATGGAGCTCTCCGGTTGACAAAGAAACAAAATTTGGAGATCTCATCGAACAGTGTCAAGAAAAGGGTAAATCTCATACCTAAAGTTACAACTCCCACTCACAACTCTCCCTCCTTCTTTACCATCACAACATTTAGGAAGCTCCCCAATAATCTTATCCAAACATGTCTTACAAACCGTAAACCATAGGTCCCGTGTACACTGCACCATTCCGTACAGCTTCATCTTCCCGAGTTTCATCTCCCCTGTCTCGTACAACAATAACTTATCTGATCTACGAGTAGCTTTCGTGGTCAGCTCAGTTAGTAGAGCCTTTGTCTTCGCATTGAACGACGCCGGATCGCTTACTTTCTTCGTGCTGTACATATAGAACTTGTTCTTGTCATCGATCTTCTCGAAGAAAGCGGTTGGAGAAAACTTGAGAAGACATTTGTCAAACCATACTATTCCAGCCTTGTTCATCGGACATCTCCTACGTAGCTGTCATATTCATATTCATAGCAATTAAAAACAAACCTTACACTCGCACACAATAATTTACGTATGATATATAGATTTTGTACATGCACTAAAGATTTGGTGTTATTTTTGAAAACCAAAATATTGACGTGTGTGTAAAGTTACCTCCGAGGAGGCGGTAGTGAGGCAGGAGCCACACTCTGGGCCGTAGGAGTCACCCCGGCATTGGAGCAAGATGTAGACGGTATTGGGATCGTCACCATGGTAGGCGTAGACGAAACCTCTTACAAAAGTGTCTTTATACATGTCATTGATGATGAAGTTAAGGTTTTCTTCGTACGGGCTCTTAGGCTTGTATTTCCCTTCAATTTCAGAGCATTTGTGGTATAGATACGCGTTGGTCTTGTTCATGGACGAGACACTGCGTATAAGGAGGACTTGTGTGCTTACCACGGCCAAGTTAAGGACCAAAACTACGCGTTTTGATACGGAGGATGAAGACATTATTTTTTATGCAGAAGAATGCTTTATTGCTGATTTGGCTTTCAATAGTTAATAGATGAAATGCTTATGTCAAAACGACTTTTTTTTTGTAACCTTCCAAAAATTCGGTTGCTTTAGAAGAAATGTTTGTTGGTTCTGTAACGGGCACGGGAGAAGAGTTAGGAGTTGTGACTTGGTATATGCGGCTAGTGAACGGCCGATGAAAAAGTCAAAATTGAAAGATTTGACTGAGTTTAAACTTTTATAAATTAGAAATAGTACTGTGATAGAAACATTTTAATTTGGACCTATGTTTTTCAGTATTAGTTAACATACGATACTTCTCATTACCATTTACTCAAATCCACAATAACGGTTTGTTCTTCATTACGTAGACATAGTTTGACTTGGCAACTAAATACCGATTCGAACTTTTAAGCATTTGGATATCTCTGTATGATATGCAAAAATGATAGGGAAATATTGCTAAACATTCAGGTTTCATCGTTAAGCTGCTTCAGTTCCACTACTAATTAGCACCTAGATTAGGATCTTGCAAAATCAGTAAACAACATCTTTGAACGAAAAAGGAGCTCTCGCAGCCAACACCTTCGCTTTTTCCTTCTGCAGCTGAGCTTCAAGATCCAAGACCATGTGCTTCAGCTTCTGCAACTCTTCCTCCATTGTTCCTAGCCGGGCCACACTACTCTCCCCCATCTTCTTCTTTTCAGAGACCTCATCCAGCTTCGTCTTTAGCCAATCCAATTTAAAGCCAACATCAATCAGATCATCAAGTGTCTCATCAGCATTACTCAGATCATCATCAGAGAGCTTCTCTGGAGACCGGCACAGCGTCTCAATGAGCCTAAGAAGTACATCCATGTATGCTTTCCTGATCTGTTGGTTCTTAGGACGGAAACCTATTGCTGTGTCCGGGTGTCTTTTGAAGATCTGCCTCACTGATTGTACCTGCAAGCAAGAACAACATAAATGACATGGGAACCAAGATTTTGAGATCACTTATGATAAGTTTTCTTTTAGAAAAAAGTGTTAGATTGCGTTCTTACCTGTGAAGTAAGAACCTGAAAACCATTGACATCCATGGTTTCCTTTGCTGGTTGAGTAATCTCTTTTAGAAAATCATTAATCCACGTATCAAAAACAGGTGCCTTATTGTTACACCCTGAACCACCATTTTCTACTGTCTTCGAGGTGTCCAACATGGACTTCAATTGGTGGAGAGATGAAGCATCATCATCCGGATCCTCTTCAACTGTACCATCCTCAAACAGATCTTCTTTCGCGGCATCATCAGTATCCGCATCGGAAACTACCACATTGTTACAATTCATACCACGGTTTCCTACTGAACGAGAAGCTTTATTCCAGGCATTCAGTTGGTTCAAGGGACATATTTCCTGACCTTCATCATCAGAAACAGGAGATGACGCATCATCATCATCATCATCATCATCCAAATCTTCTTCAGATTCATCATCATCATCTAAACGCTCTTCAGATTCATCATCATCATCCAAATCCTCTTCAGATGCATCCTCATCTGAATCTTCTTCAGATGCATCAGTAGCTTGATTTCCTTCTCTGCAGCTCAGAGGTTCAGTTATCTTCACAGTATCCTTTGGTACACCAATAGCTGGAAGAATCTGTACCTCAGCGACAATAATGAGTTTGTTTCTCACAAGGAATCCATTACCTCTAGCATGAATTTTATAAAGGGGCAAAAACTCATTAAAACCCGAACCATAATCATTTGCATCGAACCAGTGTTGCCCTTCTGCCATATGAACAAACATAATTGGAAAAAATGTTAAGTCACATCAAGTGATCCTAACCATAAAAAATTAAAACTTTGTATCAAATTAAACCTACAAAGAGAATAAAACAGAGACATATATTTTCCTTCCAGGACACAAAAACTGAAACAAGGAGCGTATATATAAGGAAAAAAATTAATCACCTAATACTCTGGTGGATTGTTTGTGAACCTTATTCACAAGAGTAAGACGAAATTTCACTTGTCTTCTCCATCCTAATGGCAAAGATGCAGGATCCGCAAGTTCTAGATACAAGGACAAGTAACCATTCCTATCTTTATTGTAAGAAGCAAGAAGACGCCTGCACAAAATAAAAACAAAATCCAATCTTTTACCAAAAAAAAAAGGAAAAAAAGACGAAAGTGTTTGTAATCGTTTGTTTATTTACCAATTGCAGTCAGCTGCTGCGAAGGTGCGAGAGTAGCAATTGTTATGTTGCAAAGAACAGAAATTTTTCAAAACCCAACTGAATCTTGTCTCCTTTTGCTTGCTCATTATTCTTGATGAAACGTTTGGAAGCGGTGGAGGACAAAAGAAAAACATAGAAACTGAATCGGATAAGCAAGTTCGTAATCCAATATATAAATCGCAGTCTCCGGTGACAGATTCACACACGAAGGTGCTTTGAATCCGAGTCTAGTAGGGTTTAGGGTTTTCGATAAGTAGATTTAGAAATCGCTAGCCACAGAGAGAGTAAGAGAGAGAGAGGAGATCGGACGATATCTCTACGAGAATGTTGTAATCGCTACTTGAGAAATATGCTGATCCGTAGTGGATCTACCTCTTGAAAGTTTGTTAGCGAGAAGCTAGGGTTTACTGTTGGTGAATAGAGTGTAGAAGTATATACTTTTAGCTTTTTAAGATAAAGACCATATTCAAAATAAATAAATAGATCCAATAAATAAATAAATAGATCTAAACAAATAAATAGATAAAGACCATATTCAAAATAAATAAATGTCAATTAATTAATTAAGATGCTTAGATTATTCATATAAAATACGCATATTCAAATTAAAAGAAGTTCAACCCTTCAACTTATTTGATACTTGATTCACAAGTATCCAAGATAAAACCTAAAAAATCTGCAACGGAAAGGAAATTGCAGAAACTAAACAAAAAGACTAAAGACTTCTTTTATTCAAAAGAAATGTTCAAAGCCGCAGCTTTCTCTTTCTTAAGTTCGGATTCCAAATCGGACAAAGTAAGCTTTCGCTTCTTGACCTGTTCCTCGAGTTCTCTGATCCGCGCACCACTAAGTCTCTGTTTTTCCTTCTTCAAGTAAGCTTCAGCTCATCCAACTTCTGACGCAACCAACACACTTTCAAGCCTGCTTTAGAAGATCAAAAAGCGTACTCTCTGCTTTATCTAGGTCTTCCAAGGAAAGCTCCTTTGTCGACTGGGACAATGTCTGATTTAGGTCGAGGAGGACATCCATGTAAGCATTCTTAAGTTGTTGATTCTTTAAATCAAAGTTTGAAGTGAGATCTGGATGCTTTTTAGACATTTCACTGACCAGAGTTTCCCGTGAACCAGAAAAATGTAAACCACAAAAGGTCAAATCGAATTATATTAAAAATTAGCCTGAACCTCGATTGGGGAGAGAAGGTTTAAAATAGCCTGAACCGGTTTTTTCAATGAACCAAACCGGCAGATTTTATTGAGTTTAGCCGGTTTAAAAGGGTATATGTGAGTCTAAAGAAATAAAAACAGATTGCCGGGTCACGGTGACACCGGTTTAAGAACACCAGAAAATGCGTAATAAAAGTGAAGTGTGATCAAACAACATCATCGAACTTTAGAGGAGCTCCAATGGACAAAACCTCTGACTTCTTCTTCTCACACTTGTGCATCAAGTCATGAAGCTGTTGCTCTATTCCTTGGAGCATGACCAAACCAGACTGTTCTTTCTCTTTCTTTTCTTTCACTTGGTCTAGCTTCTTCTCCAACCAATCCACCTTAAATCCCGCATCTTTCAAATATGTCAGTGCAATGTCTACTTCCACAAGATCTTCATTTGAGAGCTCCTGAAGAGATTGGCACAGCGTCTCAATTACGTTGATAAGGAAACTCATGAATGTTTTCCTCAGATGTTGGTTCTTTACTTGGAATCCTACTGCAATCTCTGGGTGCTTTTCAAAAATACGTCTCACAGATTCTACCTGCAAGTGTAAATACAAATGTACAAAAACATATCAGAGAGATCATTCTTTGGAGATGTGGAGGCCATTCTTTAAGTTTCTTTACCTGTGAAGGAAGAACTTGAAACCCATTAATATCAATGCTTTCCTTCACTTGTTGAGGCACTTCTTGAGTCTTGTTGAGTAAATCATTAGACTCAATAATTTTCTTTGATTCATCTAGTGTGCCAATAACTTCATGAAATTCTACTTCAGCAACAATCATGACTTGTTCATTTACCAAAAATCCACCATCTTTGGCATTAAGTTCGATAAGTGGAAGCATGTTTTCAAAACCCCATCCGCGAGCATTCTGATCAAACCAGCGGTGTGTTTCTGTAACATTTCCCACTCATTGGTTAATCAACCACAAATAAAGCACTGCATGAACTATACGCGCCGTAAGAGTAAGATTTAAACAGCTCACTATACACACAAACATACTGAAAATGACATTAAAAAAAAGGTGAATCAACTAGTAATGAGCAGACTTCAGTAAGAATCACCTTGTTGTACAGAGAGTTCTTGCGAAAGCTGATTTACTATACTTGCGCGAAATTTGACGTATCTTCTCCATCCACAAGGCAATGATTGAAAATCAGCAACTTCTAAATACAAAGAAAAGTAATCTGCTTTATATCCCTTAGGAAAGGCAACAAGACGCCTGCAAGAAAACCCAAAGAAAAAGAATTATCAAACTGGATATCACTTAAGTCGACTAGCAAACATGAAAACGAGGTACTTTTTTTTTTTTTTTACCATTTGCAGTCACCAATCACGACTGGAACAGAATTACATCTCTCAGAGTTCAAAGAGGAAAAATTCTTTATCTCCCAACAAAACTTCTTATCAACTCCCTTGGCCATTGGATTTTGATAAAGATTATTTGCAATTAAACTAACATAAACCTGGAGAAAGAGAAAACCTCTTTTAACTGAATGTCAAACACAGGAATTCATAAAATTAAACCAATTAACCCCAATGAAACACACTCTCGAGATACAAAATAAGACAAAAAAAAACACTAATAAGTATTCAATTTTGACATTCAAACACAGTTTTCTTTATAGTTGCCACACTCTAGACTAAAGAGCTCAATGCTTAGTTGAAGATTATGCTTCCATGTTGAACGAATACAAAGAGAATGAGTGCTTCTCGAATTCGTGTATGATTTCCTCGCGATCTAACTACAAGAAGACGGAGTGAAGAGAGAAAAAACCCTATAACCTGAGTGGCGCACAAAAACCCACCCAAATTTGTAAATCTAACAATCAATTAACAAGTAATATTAACAATCTCGATCAACAAAACCCAAAACATACATCTCAAAACCACCATGGAATCGAACAAAGTCTGGGGAATCACAAATACTAAAGGATTTACCTCTTGAATGTTTGTTAGCGAGTCGCTAGGGTTACTGTTGGTGCATATAGGTAAAGAGTAATATATATTTTAGCTTATAACTTGTGTACCGAATATTATCTGGAGGATCATTTTAAGATGAGGACCAAGCATTCCAAAAGATTACACCGATAGGTCCGTTAAATCAAATCTTTGATTAATTAATAAAGTACGCATATATAATGAAAAAAAAAAGCAAAACCTTAATTTATTTGATACTTGACTCACAAGTAACGAAGATAGAAAACTAAAAAAGTCTCCAACGGATAGGAATCTGCTGAGACAAGGAAAGAAAAAAATAAAAGACTAAAGACTTCATTCATTCAAAGAACATTGCCGAAACGGGTTCGGTTTTTTAAAGCCAAAGCCGCAGCTTTCTCTTTCTTAAGTTCGGATTCCAAATCAGACAAAGTCAGCTTTCGCTTCTTGACCTGTTCCTCGAGTTCTCTGATCCTGGCACCACTAACTCTCTGTTTCTCCTTCTTCAAGTAAGCCTCATCCAACTTCTGACGCAACCAACCCACTTTCAAGCCTGCTCTAGTAAGATCAAAAAGCGTATTGTTTGCTTTGTTTAGGTCTTTCATGGACAGCTCTTTTGTTGACTTGCACAATGTCTCGATTAGGTCGAGAAGGACATCCATGTAAGCACTTTTAAGCTGTTTGTTCTTTAAATTGATTTTTGAAGGTGAGATTTGGATGTTTTATAAACATCTCCTTAACCCTGTTTACCTGTGAACCAGAAAGATGTAAAACAAAAAGGTCAAATCGAGTTATATTCTATTTATTGAACGATAGGAAACAAAGATGATGATCACATTTAGTTCTCATGTTCTATTAGAGATCAGAGAGTTATTATTTGAGCTCTCTTATGAGGATTTAGATGAATGAAAGTTATCTTTGCACACAAAAAAAAAAAAGTAGCCCAAGTCAAGACAAGGTTCAGCAAAACCTGAAACCTCAAACACTAACCGACCAAAAATGGAATGAATTTGAACAATTACCTGCATCAAGAATTTAAAGGACCAAACAGTAAGTGAATTTAGCATCATTTTTTTAGTCTTTGTTGTGAGTGAGCTTTTCTGTTTTGTTTCATTTTTAGGTGCATCCATATGTAGCTAGTTATTGGGAACAAGAACTTAAAAGTTTGGTATCAAGAACGAGAAGCTATAATGGTTTCTGAATGAGGGAAGAAAATTCACATCCCAAACTGCTGAAGCTTGTTTTGCCATCTAATCTCTACCTTACAAAGGTAATTAACTTCGATTATAGTTGTGTTTAGATATACCCAGTTGAATACGGATTGTTCTTTTGCTTTTGCTCAGTCTCTTAAATTATGACTCTTGAGCTCTACATATTTGTGTATGTTTTGTTTATTCCAGGTGGATATATTCAGAGATGATGCAGTCTTATGGTGGAATACACTGATCAAATCCGGCGTCAAGGCTTTAAGGTTTCACTTTAAAACTTGGCCCCTTTCTATTAGCAAATATTTCAAATTCGTCCCCTTTCTTTTTACTTTGGTATGTTTATATTTGTAGCCTTGTAGGTTTATCTACGTACCATGCGGAAGGGTTCAAGGTTTTCTCAATCGCCAGATCTTGATTGAGGTTAGTTGACTCTAATTTCACAGTCTTATAATATTAAACTTCACTTATTTTTTACCAATTACAAATTAATGATAAGATCATAACCTGTTCAATCAGTTCAGGTTCCCTCTTCGGCTCTGTTTATGCAGGATTGTTTGCAAAGGGACTTGATAGCACATTGTGCAAAGACGTAGTCGTCTCATCTCGTCCGTGGTATTTGTTCTTCAAATCTAGCGCTCTTTTTACTGTTTGATAACACGAGAATGCTTTAATCCCAATCATAAATTAAGTACACAGTCTGACCTGAAGAAAATTGATCACAAATTGTCTATTCTTACATGTCTGTCCTGAAGCGAGTGTTATTCACCAATTTGGAATTTAGGCTCTTGATTATTAGTTGGTGCCTCCAAATTTATGCATATCACTCACTCTTTGGTCCCTAAATTCTAGATGCAGGTATTTGCTATATTCATCCCAGTTTTGGTCGGTTAGTGTTTGAGGTTTCCTGCTTTGCTGAACCATGTCTCAACATAGGCTACTATAGCAATGTAAGTGCCTTTTGTTTTGTTTTGTTTTTTGCTCTAGCCCTTTATTTTGGAATTTGTTGTCATCTTCTTTGTTCTAAAGCACAATACTATTGCAGG